CACAGCTAAAGAATATCTTCAGTCTGTAATACAGAAATACTATTTGCTGTGTATTGATCTGTTAACATTACTTTTTAACATGAACATTTGTATATATTTATACTTGATTTTTTAATCATATTAATTCTATTTATTTGAACAATTTTGAGTAAAGAATAGATTCACTTTCTCATGTACAAATACTGTTTGCTGTTTGTGTATTGATATTTTAAGTTTAGTTTCTAAGATGAAGAATTGTATACATTTATATATATTAACTGCATCAAACTTTTAAACATTAAGCGCACACAACTTTCATATATTAAGTGCATTAAACATGCCTCAGGAATTTGCAATGCTGCTGGAACGCCCACTAGGGGGCGTCCCGGGCTACTAGTAGTTTATAGACACGTTTATGCATTTTGTATATATTTATATACAGTTTCATCTATGTATAATTTTTTCCCTGGTTTGTTAGGTTTTTGCAGTGTCTATTTTTTTTTATCTAATATTAACCAGTTGTGAAGTAGCAGTTGTTAACATTTTAAAATAATATGTGTTTTATAATAATGTGTTTAAAACTTTTTCAAGATTTTATTGATAGTTACTTATTTTTCATCAAGTGATTAAAACTTGAAGATATCTATCACTGTCAGCCTTAAATAATTTATTTTATTGGAGATTAACTAAATTAGCTAAGATTTATGTGTTTCAGTACTAAAGAATTATATTATTATTGTTTGTTAAGAGTTAATTTATGTTTAGTTGTTCAGATAATAACTTTAAAGAAGAATAATTTGAATATTGAAAAAACATTATTTACTAATTTAATATTTTTATTTTCATTAAATATTGAAAAGAGGGAGATAATTAAAATATTACAGCATTGATTTAATTGTCAGATATTAGTTTTTGTGATAATAAGTTATACTGAAAATAATTAATTTTATTATTTCAGTAAAGTAATTACATGAATATTGAATTAATTTCTTTTATTTAATTGCTTGAGACTTTTTATAATATATTGTTTTTTAGGAGGGCTTACTTGATAGACAGGATTTTCTGTTATGGATATTAGAACTTTTAGAGAAAACTAAATGTCCAGATGATCCAATTATGAAATTAATTATGCCATTGGTACTTCAGGTTAGTAGTCATTCCTTCAATTAAAAAATAATTCATAAAGTTAATACCTTTCTTTAAAAATAATGACAAATTAAATTTAAATTTATCAAATATGTCTATTTTCTCTGAAATTGATTTTTAAAAATGCTTCTAGTATGAAAATTTAAAAAAAAATGTATTTATAAGAAAATTTTTAAAAAGTTAAGACATCTAAGAACACATCATAAATGCTGAGATTATTAATCTTGTTTATTCTTTCTATAAACTTTTCAATTATCATTAATATGTTAATTAATGAATTTATCTGTCAGTCAAAATTTAGCTGTCTTTGAATTTGATTAACGTGAGATATAAACTAAAATTTTTACTTTTTCTTAGCAAGAACTTTGAATTTTATCAAGAATAATTTATTGGATTTTCAGATTATAAAATTTATGAAATAAGTTATGTTTTAATTTTTTTAAATTTGATAAAGTTTTGATTAAAAAATTTATTGTAAAAATACAATAAATTTTTTAATGCGTTGAACATAATTAGTTTCATGATGATGCTATATTAATTAAACAATATCACTTCTGTGATAAATGAAGAAAAAGATTTAAAGCAATTTAATAACAAAAAATGTGTATTTTTGCATATTGACACCTATCAATTCTCGGTATAAATTGTTTATAGGTGGAAGATAATAATAACTAAAAGATAATTATTTTGAAGGGCTGAGCTTTCCATTATTATGTTTTAAGAACATTTTAGGACTTCTTTTTTATGTTTTTAAGAACTCTTTTATAATAATTTAGATGTAAAAACTGGTTCATGCTTTAGGAAAATGGAAAGAGAAAATTATATTAAATTGGTTTAGTGCATATTTCATTCATTACTCATGACAATTTTATTCTTTTTTGATTTAAGGGAAAATATAAGTTATAGTTTTTTTGCTTCTTTTCCATAATTTTTGTTAGTTAAGAATACTGTGGCCATGTGGCAGTTTGCCCGCACCATGCAGGCAAAATGATGGAATTTTTTGGTGGGAGCAAGTTAGTGTTTTCACTGCTTGGATTCTTGTTTCAGTTCTGGAGTATAGTGATGAACCATTTCATTGCAGGATATGGTACAGTCCAAGAAACTATAATTTTCTTCATTGAAATGTTGCTTTAACTAGATAATAATTTGCATTTTCCTGTTTCAGTCAAACAATGACAATTGCTTGCGTACCCATTGTGCACTTTTCTCAAGTATAATAGTGTTGATTGTATCTAAAGAAAGACCAGTTTCTACTGTAAGTTCATCACAGGTTATCTGCTGATTATTCAAGATCAGATATTTGACATACTGGATGTTCACAGGGATAATTGCAGTTCTTGTGGAACTTCCCTGGCTAGAGTTATTGCTCATAGAAGCGCATTCCTCCTGAAAATGTTTGCACCATTTGAAAGTCTTACTGTAGCTCAGTATCTCATTTCCATAGTGAGCTTGCAGCCTTCAGTGAATTTTGATCAGTTTAATGCTTTCTTTAACAAGAAACTTCATCAGAATATGCTATGCCATATGAAAACTGATACTGCTGTTTGCCATTTTTGATACATCTGCTCCATGTAGTCAAAAATTCACACCTTTAAATTTCGAAAACAAGTTTAATGAGATAACATTTTTGACTAAATAATCTGCTGAATGACATGCTGAAACATGCATGCCACCTGCGGGTAATAGAGGATACTATAATCCAACGGTGGGCAACCCCCGGCCCGCGGGCCAGCTACGGCCCGCGAAGAGTTTCTATCCGGCCCGCGAGATGTTTAGAAGAAATTATAAATAAATATTTTTTGATGTAATTCGTCTAGTTTAAATTGAATATTATTTTCTGAAGTGTTGCGGCAGCAATGACAGGAAAAAATAAGGGAGTCATTTCCTTATTCAAACAAAAAATGGGAGAACAGAATGTTTCTAAATTATTTATATCTCATCGCATCATCCATCAAGAAAATCTATGTGCAAAAGCTATGCAATTAGAAAATGTAATATCTGTCGTATCCAACTACATAGTGCTGTTTTTATTGTGTTTAAAGTCACTTAGATTTTACAAATATGTGAGCCGTTCACAGCCCGGCACACGCATTTGTAAAATCTAAGTGACTCATACAACATGGAATTCATATAAAACGGAATAATCAACAGTGTTATAGGGGGGTCGACTGTAGTAATTAATTTCTTTTTATTTATTTATTTATTTATTTCATATTTGCAAGCTAAAAATTTACAGGTCACAAGGTGTCAATTAACTACTATGGCCTGCGGAAAAAACGTAAAATTTATTCTGGCCCATGTTATAAAAAAGGTTGCCCACCCTTGCTATAATCTTACTATTGTTACATTTTAAGCAAAATTGCTTTCTTCTTCATATCTTCAGTCTAAAAAGTCCTGATTTGAACAACTTACATAATTATTGGACGATAACTTTTTAATACTGGGATATATTAATTTAAATACAGACAAAACACCTACACCAACATACATCAAATTAATACATTTTTACTAATGTTTTCATTTGTTTATAACAGACATCTTAAGGAATATATAATGCAGAACAAAAATGGACAAATTAAAATTGAACAAGCTTTTATGAACAAATTACAAATTCAGTTTAAAATTATTTCTTGAACAAATTATATTTTTAGTTTAAAATTATTTTTCATATAAATAACTAATTTAGTTTAAATTTTCATTTGTGTAAGTTCATATCTGCATGGCCTAGTGAAATGTATATGAGAAAATCTTTATGAGAGTTTAAAAAAAGCATCCCATGCTGTGGGTAGTGTGTCCGTTTCTTTGAAATTAATTCCTGCTCCATTCTTAATTGCCTTATATGTTTCAATTGACTCCAAGTATTTAAAGTGTGTCCTATTGGAATCCTGTAATCCTGTAGATTGATGCATATATCCTCACATCTGGCATAAGTGGCTAAGGACATGGATGCAAGTTTCTTTTTGATTGTATATTTATGCTCTTTCATTCTCGTAGCAAGACTTCTTGTAGTTGCATCAATATATAATAATGTGCAGTTAATTCTGCCATCACACACTGGTACTGTGTAAATACTGGATGAGTAAGAGTCAGATACAGTGGAACTGCACCTAACGACCACCTCACATAACAAGCAAAACAAATTGTAAAAAAATGACTCACTTAACAAGCAATATTTTGCATAATGAATGACAAGGAGAGGGGGAGTCCAGGATTGTGTTCATACGTGTTCTGCTAGCATCTTAGTGTCTCTTGTGATCAAACATTTTTCCAAACTTGTGTTCACACATATTACATATAAATACCAACAACCATAGCTCATTATATAATAAACACACCAAACAATATGCCAAATTCTTGGGCTATGTAAAGGCTATAATTAAATATTAGAAATTAATTAATTTGACTAGAGGTAGGCAGTTATGCTGCCATCTTGTATTAAATTTAATGAAATTCCAAAATAAATTCCAATTCCAAATTAAATGTTATAAATGTCTAAATTAAAAATTAATTATTTATAATTATTAAATTTAATACAAGATGGACCCATAACTGCCTACCTCTAGTCAAATTAATTAATTTCTAATATTTAATTATAGCATTTGCATAGCCCAAGAATTTGGCATATCATTTGGGATCTTTACAGACATATTATCTGTGATTTTTTTTTTCCTGCAAATTTGCATTCCAGGTTGATTCATTCTGTGCTAGAAAAAACATGAAGATGATTCACACTCCTTAACAATGTATATTGTATAATTTTCTTTGAATAAACATTATACATAAAATGTTTGAGTACAGTAATACCCCGAACTTACGCGATAGGTGGGACCGAGCGGTAACCGCGTAAGTCGAATTCGCGTGAGTCGGGGTATAATTTCACATATAAATACATACAAATAATTTTTAATTGGGGCCGGAGACTAAAGAAAACAATAATTTAGAAAAAAATGTCTAATAAAATCTTAGATAATACATATGTATAACAAATTAGGCCTATATTATATTACAATTTTTCACATTTACTTGATTATCACACCATAATTTTAACATCGTTTCCATCTCAGCGATAATACTGTGACGTTTACGAATGATGCTTGAATTTAAAGATTGAGCATTTTTCACAGCTTCGAGAATTTTTTTCCTTTTATAATTGTTCTGACTGACAATTCCGGTAGATCAAACTTCTTTGCCAATTCACAAATTTTCATTTTTGTATCGAAGTTTTTAATAATGGGTACGTTCGTAAAGTCAAACGAGTTAAACGCGTTAGTAACGAATTGTTCGAAAAGTCTAACGAAATAGGAATAATGATGACGTCATTCTCGCTTAACTCGTTTGACGTTACGAACGTATCCAATGTTAACTTTACATTCCAAAGATAAAGTTTTTCTTTTTTTGTTTGATGCAGAAGAATTAGTTCTACTTCGTTTGGATGACATAGTAGAGTCTCTCAAGTCTCCGTAGATATAACAAACACAGAAATAAATAACACAAAATAAACTGTAGCTATGTGTGGATTCTGCACGGTATATCCGAACATGTAAGCTGAACAATAGTGTGGGGGAGTGAGTAATCAAGGGTTGTGTGGCACTCAAACAAAAGACGAATCGACGAGATTTGAAAATCGTGTAACTCCGAGTTCGCGTAAGTCAGGGTATTACTGTATTTTTTTGGCATGGAACACATTATTGTACAGTAGAGTCATTTATCCGAATCAATTGGGGACTGGGGTTGTTCGGATAACTTATTTTTCGGATAACTGATTATGTACGAAAAAAATATATTAACCTATCCCATGTTGAAATTTTTCTCTGTTGCATGTTGCTTCGCATTGAATTTTCATCAATGTTAAGCTTAATGTAAACTTTTTAAAATAATAATCGTGGCTATTGTATCGTTAAAAATTATTTCTTTATTTTTTACAAACAAAATAAATATATTGAAAAATATAAAAACAAAAAAAATTTATACTTTAGAAGTTATCTAGTATCAAAAACGTTCAATTCAACATGACACACAGTCCTCAGAAAAACACCACACATAAGTGCCAGTGCTGCCAGCTAAAACACATACACAAACAAAAAAAANTCAATGTTAAGCTTAATGTAAACTTTTTAAAATAATAATCGTGGCTATTGTATCGTTAAAAATTATTTCTTTATTTTTTACAAACAAAATAAATATATTGAAAAATATAAAAACAAAAAAAATTTATACTTTAGAAGTTATCTAGTATCAAAAACGTTCAATTCAACATGACACATAGTACTCAGAAAAACACCACACAAAAGTGACAGTGCTGCGAGCAAAACACATACACAAACATAAAAAATATTGGAGTAGCCCAAGGTATAGCCAAAGATTGCAGCGCCACAGCACTAGCGAAAATTTAAATTTACCGACTAGAAGTCTTTCTGATAACCAACTTTCGGATAAATGACGCTCTATTGTATTTTATGTTAATTTATATGGGAAAAATTGTTTTGCTTAATGAGTATTTCACATTACGAGTAAGATTCTGGAATGAATTATGCTTGTTAAGCGAGATTCCACTGTCTAGGGTTCTTATAATTTCTGATCAGTGAAAAAATCATTGGTGTACATCTATATGCTAAATGAACATTAGTTGTTCTGGCAATTTCTCTATAGATTTTAGATTATGTCATCTTATACATTATTACCATCAGTAGTCTCTCCTGTGGAATGGGTTTGTTCTCAGGCTCTAGATATTGTTTTGTGAGTGTTTTATCCATTAAAAGGATGGGTATTCATGTTGTATTGCTAGTGATGTAATGCACAATAGTTCTTTTTCTTTTTCACTTTTCACTCTTCTCTGAACAATGTGTTGGAACTCTTTACAACAGATTAAAAAGCAGTAATTTTGTAACAATAATGGTCATGTGAATGCGGTCATGAATAATGTACAATTCACATGACCATTATTGTTACAAAATTGACCATTACAATTCACATGATCATTATTATAAATAAGGGTGAATATGACTCTTTATGGTAAGCCATAGTGGAAAGTTGATCGTGTTCCAATTTGATGTTGATATCCACAAAATGTATAGCATTATTCTCAACATGTAATGATAGGCCAAAAGGGTTGTCATTAAATACTTAAGTACTATGTTGAGATTAGGTTTGTTTTTCCACACAATGAGAATGTCATCAATTTTAATAATTTTCAATAATTTTAAACTAAACACATAATATTTTTGGGAAATAATTTAAACTCATTTTATAAGTTATTCCAAAAATAATTTTAAACTGAATTTTTAATTTGTTTGTAAAAGCTTGTTTGATTTTAATTTGTCCATTTTGTTCTGTGTTAAATATATCCAAAGATGTCTGTTATAAACAGATGAAAACATTAGTAAAAATGTGGTATATTTGAGATATGCTGGTATAGGTGATTTGTCTATAATTATTGGATATTTTAAAACAAAAAGTTTTATTTTACTTAGTTTTGGATAAGTAATTTTTGACTAAATAATAAATTTAAATAACAGATTATTTTGATAATAGACTTATATAAACAACAAAAATGGAAATAAATATCTACAGCAATTATGACATAATGGTCTCGTATTTTAAAGTAATTATTTCAGTTTATTTGTGAAAATGTTTTATTTATTAAATTTAATTTTTTATGCAGTATGTGGATGAATTTGTTCATTCAGAGCTCTTATCTCGTCGTTTAGCACATCACTGTGCTAGAAAATTAAATCAATTAATAAGTGAATATCATGCTAATTCTTCAAGATGTCAGAGTCCATTAATGAATACATCAAATGGGTAAGTAAATTAAAATAATTAGCATTGTTCATATTTGAAATTAGTAGTAGGATTCTAATGTTTGATTCAATTTATATAATTTTATAAATAATTATTGAAATACCTTAAAAATGAATTTATGAATTTCTCCATACAGTATATTAATTCAAAATTCATTTTGTGAAATTGAAAAGATAAAACACTTTAATAAAAATTATTTTTTATTTACACTAGAATATTATAAAAATTAATATTTTTTTTATGGGCAAAATATTTTTATAAATAAAGACTGTTAGATTGTTCATCTATCTTCAGCATTAATTAATACAAGAAAGACAGACAGTCTGAAGTTTAGATAGTGAGTAAAGTATAGTAGTAATTTTCTCAAAGAAATAAGTAGAAAAAATTTGTTTATGTAAATATTGAAGATTATTTTATCATAATTGTTTCTTTTTATTAAATTGTAGAAATTCAGATAAAATTGGAAGAATTTTATTTTAATCAATTATGATTTTATATTTTAAATTACTAGTAATTAGTTTTAAATCATTTTGAACTTTTATAACGAAATATCTTTAACTATTTTATGAGAATATTTACAAATTTTGCTAAAACAATTGAAAATTAACAATTTTTACAAATTTTAACATTTAGAACAGAGTATACAACAAAAAATCCAAATAATATCCAGCATTTAGTAATATAGCATAAACTATATAAATAATCTAGCATAAAATTTGGTAATCACTTCTAATGTTTTCAGTAGAAACAATATTTAACATAATCAGTTTATGGAAATATCACTTTATTTGATGATGTCATGCCATCAGCTTTTTTTAACTTCATCCAAGCTAGTAATCAAGAAAATTTATATGAAAACTTTTTTGGCTTTTTAATTAATTCTGTTAAATGAATAACAGAAACAAATTATATTTTATTTTTATTGTATGGTATAGTTATAGTAGTCTCTTAAAGGACCAGGTATACAAATAATATTAATAATATTTACAAAAGTTGTTTATTAGTCTTTTCTTTTTGGAAAGGAGATCAGGAAGAAATATATTTTCTCAGCTGTTTCCTACGTTCTTCTTATCCCATAGCCAGTTTACCAGCTGATATCTTGTCCTCTGCTATGTGGGATGCATATTAATTTTTTTTTTATATTAATAATAAAAAACTAGTTAAAAATTTTTCCTTTTTTGTTAGTTTGTAGCTCCTGGCTTTCTGATCTATTTTTTCTTTGACTTAGTTTACATTCTTTACTCTTTTAAAGCCTAGGTAAAACTGCTGATTTGGCAAATCTTCATATTTATTGAAAACTTTTTGACTAACTTTTTCACCAAATCTAGGAACTAATTATTTTAAATATCCTTTTTATTGAATTCAATTTATATCATGCCTACTTATTATAAAAGTGATGTTTTATAAAAGTTTATAATAATCATAACTGCAAATATCTGTTTTCAAATTTTGTTTTACTTATAAAGTTTTGATACCAATCATTGATTCATTTAAAGCTAATCTTAGTCCAGTGCAAAACATGACGTCAACCAATATGAATAAAACATAATATTGAGTAATGCAATCATGATATTAGTTTATTATTATGTAATATGATTTCAATTTATTATTTTTCATTATTAAGGTGAGATATTCTTATCTTTTTTAACTATTTTTATTGAAATTTTGAGTATTTTAACTCATTGTATTGTAGTATTCAATGGTATTGGTGTAGTATTTATATTATATAATATTTGCCTTATATATTTTTAATTTACACTGCATTAAATATAAGGTATAAAAACTGATTTGTAATAAATACTTGATTTTTTTCATGTAAATATAAATATCTTCAAACAATCTAGATCAGTTTCTCAACCTCTAATGAATCATTGCCCCCTTCAACATAGTATTGCCCCCATCAATAAAACCGTTATGTAATATTGTCCCCTTCACTACAAAATTACGATGCCAAGGGCCAAGGCTAACGCCAAATTCGTACTGCATCAAATAGACTAGTGACTAGTATAATGTTTTTTGTTTAATTATTGTACAATATAACGAATAAAATATCTAATCATTCTTAATTTATTAATATAATGTTTTACTATATCATCCAGAAAATTATTTTTCGCCCCCAAAATATAAATTGTTACTAATCGCCCCCTCAACATGGAAAAATGCCCACATGGGGGTGATATCGACCCTATTGAGAAACACTGATCTAGATTTTAGGTATGAGAAATAAACAAATTACAGAATTAAAATTTAATTTAGCGAAATTTATTTGTTTATTTATTTTATTATATTATGTGTGTGTATTTATTTATTTTATTTTAAAAGTTTTTAAATAATTAAATAATTTTCAGGTTTTCTATGTCCCCTACCCCAACTCAAACATCATTTAATCCATTAACTGCAAGTATTGCAGAATTTCTTGGATGCTCTCATCATCGAAGTATTGTTTTAGGTCTTTCGGCAGTTATTCAGGTAAATATTTAAATGTAATAAATTATTTTAATCTTTGATTACTGTGTAAATTTGATTATTTATTGTCAGTAATACCTTTTAATCAGTCTTTTAAATTTATGCATGAAAATGTGTGTCACAAAATGATAAATATAAGTTCCTGATTTAAGTGATCATAAAAAATACTTTATTTAAAGTTTTCACTTAATTCTGTTAATACATTAGAAAAGATTTCTCTGAATCAATTATTTAAATCTGTATTGTTATTTTTCATTGTTTTTTGGTCATGATTTTTTATTGTCTGGGTATGCTATGTTATATACAAACATCTGAAATATCAGGTAACCAAATAAATAATGTCATTTTTAAAATGTGAATAAAAATGCTTGTATTTTTTGTTTAAAATAATTTTATTCATCAAAATATTGACCTTCACAAACAATTACACTTTCTTAATGGGGGACAGTTGAAGATACAATTTTTAGTATTAAAAATTGAGTTACTTTTTTTACAGCTATGTGATTTGTAAATTGTTTCCATGCATATAATTATCCAAAGATTAAATGTGTGGTAATCAAATGGAGATAAGATAAGTCAGTAAGGAAGGATGGGGTAAAAGTTCTCATCCCAATTGTATTATTTTGTTTCTTATAATTTCTGCAATGTATGGGTGAGCATCATCGTGTAAAAAACAAAAACACTTTGACTATTCATCAAAAATGTCTGTTTTAGCTTTTGTCATGTACTCTTTGTAGCTGCTCACTGTACAAATCTGCTGAGAAAGTCTGATCAGCATTCAAATGCTCAAAATTAGCAATACCTCCACCAAACTAAACACAAAAAATAATTTTATTCATCAAAATAAAAAAAACAATATTATTTTTTGGTTACCTAATATTTATTCAAAATTTAGACCAGTTGTTGTCTTAATATTATAAACTTTATCTTAAGATTTAAGAATTTTGAAACTGCAGACGTTAACTGCCATAAAGCTTTTTTTTCAATTGGAATAATTGAACAAAATCATTTTTAAGATATTCTATACTACTTAAAGCATTACATATTGTAATATTATCATAATATAAATTTTCATTCCTATAAGTTATGTATAAGAAAATCAATTATAATGATTACATTTAATCTTAAATAATTTTAACATAATATATTATATGTACATAACATATGTATATAATATAAAATATATTAAACCTATTTTTTTAAAATATGAAATATTTAAAAGTTAGCTAATCATTTGGATGCCTTTCCTTGTAACAAGGAAAGGCAGAGTAAAGTATAGNAAATATTTCATATTTTAAAAAAATAGGTTTAATTTCACATAAATTTTTATGTAATAGTTAAAAATACTCAAGTTTAAGCATCTTTGAGAAAATAAAAAGGAACCAATTTTAAGTTACTTGATTTATATTCACTGGTGCAAATATGTTTATAAGAGTGAATGGTGTAGTGATTACATCATATTTTAGTCTATGAATCTGTATCCTATAGCTGTTCTGGGTTTAAATTTTGGTTCTTTTTAACAATATATTAAAAATTTCATTATTTTTTAAAAATAAAAATTAAAAATGAAATTCAAAAAAATTATTAAAACAGTTGTGATTCAAACCCAAAAGTTATGGGATACAGACTTAAGCTGAAATTTGACCATTACACCACTCTCTCTTATTGATATAAATATATTTGCACTAGAGTATATAAATTCAATAACTTAAGATAGGTTCCTTTTTTTCTCAAAAATGCTCAGGATCAAAGATTTTTTTTTATTATGTGTAGGTTTAATTTCACATAAACCTTTCTTTTAAGCTATACACAGATAATTTGATCAAAAAAATGTTCATATTTTTTGGAATATTATGGTGCAATTTCATAACTATTTCAAACAAGAAAATACTAGATGCTATATTTTTTCCAATATTCAGGCTTTAAAAACTCAATGTTAAAACTGCTAAAATATTTCTCCTTTTTAACAAATTATCACATCTGCCTATTATCAACTCTTTTGAAGTTGCTAGATCTTGCATAGGCTTTTTTGACATGTTTAAACATATCAACTATTTTGATCAAATTTTCACAAAATGGTCTGCTTTTGCTGCATCATATTAATATACATAATCCATCTGTTGACACAAGATAGTTTTCATGTATCACCATTCCATTATGCCATCTCAATGTAACAATTAAATCATTCTTCTTCTGCTATTATAAAGCATCAATCAGAATTAAAAATAAATTGTATCTAAAATTCCATAAATTTAAATCTGTTTAAAAAAATTTGGCATTTTTCCTAAATGCCTATTTTGTCTATTGTCTCTTTTATTATCTATTTTAACAGGTATTGTTACTTGCTTGTTTTATAGGGACGGCTATATATTGTCAGTGACATTGCCTTTATTTTTTAAAAAATAAATGTAGATTTTTATTTTAAACATGAATTACAGTAAGACCCCACTTAACTGTTTACGTTCCTAGACGACAAAGCACTAAACAAAACAGCATTAAACGAAGCCATTTTACAGAGTAAGTAGGGAAAAGGGAACACGTGACCAAAAATAAACAGTTTTTACTTTAATTTTAAGTTATTTTTTATATAGATTTGCATAATAATATATGTTAGATAGCACATAAACATATGCACACAGAAATGTAAAGTTTATTTTTTGTGATAAAGTCGTGTAGTTTTATTTGTTACTTTTTTTTTTCCTTAAGCAAATGTCAGTAGCAGAAAATTGCATCCAAAATGCTTCATTTTGCTTTTGCACTCCTTTCGAAATCTGGATTATTCACTACAATTTGATTAAAGATTTTGCTTATCGTTATCAAACTTTTATTATGGAAATTTGTAGAGAAATTCTTTGGGTTATTTGTTTTCAGAATCTCTATTTTCCAGTTCTATATGAATTCCTTGTTCTGCCAGTTCTTGAAGGTCATCATTGATAAGACTCTCACCAGTAATTGCAGTACCTCCTCAATATCCTGCTTGTCTATATCTCCTAGTCCTGCTATACCAATTAGGTTGAGTTTGGTCAACCTAACAATACAGCGATAGGCTCTTCTTGTTGAGAATTCTTGGATACCTTTAGCCATAACTTCTGCACTTTGTTCATACATTTATGAGTTAATTCTTGTCAAGTGAAGTTGATATCACCTATTGCATCCACAATGTTATATTTTTTCCAAAATTGCACCAAATAAACATAGATTGATAAAAAGTGTAGCGCTACAATGAATTGCCATTTTTTGCTGATTAGTTTGTGTTGGGAATAATCATATTATATATGAATCAGTGAAATATTGCAATAATTTGAATTGGCATAAATCTTGAGCTTTTTTAGGCTTTCAGCAGACTGCTCTATATTGAATCAGCATTAAGTGGGTCTTACTGTATTTAAAAGTTAGTTATTTGGTTGCTTTTCCTTATAAGTTTATATATTATATTATATTATATTATATTATATTATGTATGTTACAAATTGCTGTGTAATATTTGCATTCAAAATAAAAAAATTACTAGATAACATGTAAAAATCATTGTAAAAATGTCGTTAATCATAGCTTATTTGAATATTGATTGATCATTTAAATAAATATATATTTTATAAATGTTAATAGATAATAGAAAATTTCGTTTATTTCATTCTTAGATCTAAATCCAAACATCATACAGAAAAAAAAATTGTAAGTAGTTTTATACAGTGTAGCAATTAATGAAACTTAATATAAAAATGCAAATTATTACATTTAGACTAATATATTTAATATTTTATCATGCATAGAACTATACAATTTGACGACAAGTATTAATTGAAGCTAAATTAAAATGTAAATTAATAAATATAATTTACTTAATTTTCAATAATATTATTATAAGCTATATATTTTGTTTTCCTATTCATAATATTCACTTAGAATTATATAGAAAAATTATTATGAATTATAATAATTATGGCATCATAAAATAATCTTTAAGTATATTTTAAGAGTTTGTATTTTTCAGAATTGCAACTGCAAAATTTCTGGAAGGTGTGAACTATCGGCAATTCATTTTTCATTTTTCCGACAAACATGCTCAAGACAATGTGAATAGCCCTGAGAGATTCAGTTCAGCCACAGATAGGCCATAACTGTATACCGTCTACGATAAATTCTTTCGTAACAGCACTAAAAATTCGTTAACGGACACTTTGTGAAGATCGTAAAATAGTATCCTATTGATCAAGTTTCTCTTTGGCGATCATGAACTGAACAATTCCCTGGTGAAAACCAACTGTATATTTTTTCGGTTTGTAGCCATTATTTTATTGTTTTTATCCATAGACTAGCTTCTGTTTCGAAAAAGAATAGTACTTTATTTTTTAACTCGTCATAAGATATATAAAAGTCTCTATCTGTTGCATCATTCCTTTTCTTCTATTCTTTAAATATAGGCTACTATTATGATAATAAATTGAACTGAATAAACTGTTAGGCTATTTCTTACATATTTATNATTCCAGTTGGCAAATTTAAATTTTCTCTAGTGCTGTGGCACTGCACTCTTTAGCTATGTCTTTGGCTACTCCAATATTTTTTATGTTTGTGTATGTGTTTTAGCTGGCAGCACTGGCAATTTTGTGTGGTGTTTTTCTGAGAACTGTGTGTCGTGCTGAATCAAACGTTTTTGATACTAGATTAACTTCTAAAGTATCATTTTTTTGTTTTTATATTTTTCAATATATTTATTTTGTTTGTACAAAATAAAGAAATAATTTTTAATGATAATATAACCATGGAAATAACTGGCAACATTTATTTTTGTTTCCAAAACTCTTACCAGATTTGTCTTTAACAATAGCCATGATTATTATTTTAAAAAGTTTTCGTTAGGCTTAACATCAACGAAAATTCAACGCTAAGCGACATGCAATGGAGAAAAATTTCAACATGGGATAGGTTAATATATATTTTTGTATGTAATTGGTTATCCAAAAAATAAGTTATCCGAACAACCCCAGTCCCCAATTAAT